ATTCTTTCCTACTTTCTATAATTGCACAGACTATAATGGATCCAAATGAATCAAAGCGGCACAAGTACAACTAACAATTGTCAGGGGAGCCTTAAGCTCAGAAGTTCAACTGTCCCCACAAAGCAGTGATGCACGTAAAAAGCTTTCAGCTCAGCACGTCGGACTGAGGGATTTGTGGGAAAGGCTTTAACGGTGTTGAAACAAAATGTCAGCGGTGCTCCAGGGAATGCTGTTTACTTTTTCTGTCAGACCGGTCGTGAATTTTGTACCCTGAAGGTGATCACAGAGCTGAGTAACGACGTGTGAGAAAAGCGGGTGACAGAGGGTGACAGCCGTGGGGGGGAGAGGGCTCGGGTAATGACGTCATTACCTGACATTGCGTGATGTGAGGTGGACACTCAAGTGGCACAGAGGAAGTGGTGGTTACATCTTTTCCATTCTGTTGTCATTACTATGAGGAGTACGCGTGAAATATTTCCTAAACTTCTTTTTCCCAAGCCGCAAAAAATCAAAAGACTTTCTACACCACTTACCTGTCTCACTACTACGTCGAACAAGTTTTTATTTTTAAAGACATAACGTTAATTTCTTTTAAATAGACATACACTGTACCAGTGGAACTGTCTGTCAAAAATAACAATACGCATTGTGAACCTCTCTTCTACACACAATGCGATTCCACGTATTTGTCCGGAGTTTTTGCGTAATCACTCTGAAAAAACTGGCATGCTGGAAGAATGTAAACATTTTGATATTCCTTTTCTCCTGAGGACTATGGAGGAATTCTAAGTGGCCCTGTACATTTGTAGCTGTACAAGTACATGTCCATTTCCTACATGTGTGTTGCATGACTCTTACATACCTGGGGAGAGTAGCATTGGGGTGGCCTCACAAATAGGAATTTTGCTTTGCAAACACAACTACTTTCCCCAAAGGATAAGTGCTTAAAGGACCATCTTATTTCCAAAATCCTTGCAAAGCTACATGTAAGGTTTGCCATATTTGACACTAGGCAAAGGGTCACCAAGATTATGTATAGCATTTTTCTCTTAAGATGGATGAAATTTTTTAATACATTATTTTTTATTAATAAATTCACATTTTTCAGCCTTCTTACTGCCTAATGCCATTCTTAATAAAGAAATAAATCATTAAGATGGTATACAAGCAGACATATCTTCTTCCCCAATTGAGATTAACCCTCAGACTGCTATGGTAACCATTCGGCACCAAATCTTTATTGGGTATGGGGTTTAAGGCTGTCTGGATAAAGTTATTAAGGGAGTGTCCAAATGATCTCAACCGTAAGGTGATTAACAAACAGTTTGAGGCGCAGAGTTGTGTATGAGCCTATATGGTCTAACAACACCTACATTGTCATGCCCGTAGCCAGGATGGTTTGGGGGGTTCGGAAATTTTACCCCCCCCCCCCCAAAAGGCTAAAAGGTCCACTTTTTATGTAAAGGTCCACTTTTTGGTCCACTTTTTATGTAAAGGTCCAAGATTTTTCTTGAAAAGATGGACTGGAATTGTAGAAAAACTGCTCCCTTTGTCATTGAATAAAAATTTATCTCTGATTTTTTCTTGGAAATCCTCTCAAAAATGCACGAAATGCCATTTTAGAAGGTTCATTTTTCCAAATTTTCAGGGGGAGCATACCCCCGGACCCCCTAGGAACCTCGCGCCTTCGGCGCTCGCTGGTCCCTCAAGCAGCGGGAAGAACCCCCCCATTCAAAATCCTGGCTACGGGCATGATTGTACAATGTACTTCTTTCCCTCCCCCTTCAAAAAAATATTGCCCAGCACTAGAAACCTTCAAAAAAATATTGCCCAGCACTAGAAAAGGTGCACGGAGCACGTCCGACATCGGAAGCAAGTGTCACAGAAACCATAAATTTCTTCACCTCCTGCAGACAAGTCTTTGATCAATTAACAGGAGGAATGTTGAGTGTGTTTACCTTGTTAAACAGTCTGCAGGGGACAATTGAGAGAAGTGTGACATTATACAAAGTATCAGCTGTTTAGGAACATTCGAGTGTTCACTAATGACCTGCCAGTAACCTACCATATTTCTTCCCTTTGAAACATTTGGTGGTTTTCATTATTGCAGTACTAGTGCCATGTAGCTAAAACTGATCAAGAATCTTCTGAAAAGCTAGAACCAAACATGATTTCTAATCCACATTAGGCCACACCAATTTAATTTGTTGTTACTAGGTCTCTGATTTTTTCAGAAAAAATATGAAGCGACAGGGTGAAAAAAAAACAGGCCAAGGCACCCCATGATAGTCTGAAATGTTACAATATGAGCCATGAAGTTTGGCTGGTTTATAATTAAAACAATAGATTTTGAACTTTTAATGAAACAAAATTCCATTGTTACATTAAAAACTTTAAGAACTAGGCAGAAAAGGACTTTCTTGAACCGTTTGGGCCAAAATACGTCTTTCATTGAGCATTTTTTAAATTTAGAACAAAAAAAATTTTTTTTTTTTTTGCAAATAAGAAAAAAACGGCCAGGGCGATACGAGAAGCAACTATTAAATTGGTGTGGCCTTTTCAGGTGTATTCTCATTGAACTGCATCTCTAAATTGGATGTCAAAAAAGATGCAGTCCTTTCAAGATCCAGAGTGAAAGAAAGTGTATGTGCAAATTGTATCTATTTTAGACTAGGGGCAAAAATGCTTTGTTTTAATTCTTGTTAGAGTGACAAGAGCACTGAAGCTCTAGCTATCTGAAAATCTTTTATCATCTTGTTCATGACTACAAAATTACAAGAGGTGACAATTCTTTGTGAAGTTTTATATTTTGCAGATTATTGGGAACAGTATAGTGTCCATGTATGCATATTATAGTTATATTTTGAACCTCCTTGATGTATGTGAACAGTGTGTGAGCACTTAACAACTAGGTTCCAAAAGTCTATTAAATGAAGGGTGCTTCTGAAATACTACATTAAAACAGCTATAGTAAAAATATGGGCATCATCACGGGCATGCCTGCAGATGACCTATCAAAATTACATGTGGATAAAATAAAGGGAACCGTGAGTTTTACCTGCGAACACGTAAGACCAACCTCTTATTACACACACAATTTTCACACCTGCAATACGTATGTCAATATGCAAAAGGGTTATGTCATAACTCCGGATGTTGGGAAATCCACGGACGAATCTGTCAGCAGGTTTTAATGTACAGATCCATTAGCAGGGAGCTGGAATCTGAAGCATGTTGTTGATATGAAAGCTCTTACAAGCAACAGTGTGACCTTGCTACTGTGAGTCTTGTGTGGACAAGTACAACTACAAGTCTATAACACTGCATGAATGATAACATCCTAGGTTCTACACAGGCCTAGACTTCCTTTGCCATCTCTGTCAATACATGCTCACCTTCATAGTTAAAATTTTTCATAATAAATTATTACTGTTATCATGAAAGTTCATTTGTGTTGGTAGTAATCATAGTAAAATGTTAAACTTCATTCCAACACACAATTTACAGAGATCAAATTTTCAGCGACCACTGTCGCCTTCATCAGGATAATTAATGACCAATCATTTCACAACGTGATCTCTGTAAATTGTGTGCTGTAATAAAGTTTAACATTTTACTAAATTATTACTGTATAGACATGGCAATTGTCTATCAAGGTAACAGAATCGCTGTCATTGTTATTCATAATTAGCAACAATTGACAGAAACTGGGCAAAACCAGAGTGCATCACAAAATTTCTTTGTTTTTTTTTCTTTGTCCTTCTTTCACTTACTTCTGGTTGCAATGAAGGCCTGGTATAGCTCCTTGGTCATCAGTGGCTCTGGAAGATCTCTGAAGAACTCCTTGAGAAGGGCTCCGATGTCATGTGGGTTGTGGTCCTCTGTCAGCTGTACCTCCCGCCCACTGTCAAACTCCTCACGCAGCTACAACACAGGTTAGTGGGGTCAGTATTCAAAATTCATCCTTACGCCACACTGATCTACTTTTAAGGATGACATCCGCGCGTGCATTGATTTTCACCTGTTCTCAAAAAAAGATCACCTCCTCCGAGGCTCTGGCCTGGGTGCCATCCTTCGTACTCCATATAGTCCATAGTAGCTAAATGACAATAGGGAGCCGGTAGTAACTATGGAGGATGTCACCCAGGCTACCGAAGCTCACAGTGCCGACTCATGATAAATGGTGCATGGTGCAAAAGCCAGCATGTGCCGGCTTGTCGTAAAAGTCACTATGTACTACTACAAATTCACAATTATCCAGCTTTGTATTCCTGCGATTTAGCAACATTTTTTTTTGGCAGGATTTTTTTTGCCTGCGCGCACTAGTTTGGGGGTCTTCAGAGGATGTCATCCATAAAATTAAGGTGGTGTGGCCTTACATGTATTACAGAATCTTTAGATTATTAGAAGAAGGCATACTTGAACCTTCATACTTGAACCAGAAGTCTTGTGCTAGTCACCACCAGAATAACAATGCGGATTCAAAAACAGCAAAATTTCGCAAAATACTGAGAACAAATGGCCATGGGAGTTTGGCCTCTGTAGAGTTCATTTGCCGTGTGTGCTGTCAAGACATAAACACATCTTTTTTTTTCTGCTTTCTCCATTCAATTCCTTTTCTAGTTTTTGTTCTGCCAGCCATTTTATTTACATTTTTGAACCAAAAATTTCAGGATAAGAGCTTTTTTATCTTGTTTATTCGTTGTATCGGCGCTGTTTTTTGTGATCATCTTAATTTTGCTGCTTCTGTGTTCTGTCTTTACGATTTTAACTTTTTCTTCTTTCTTACTTCACAACAACTTCACATGCATGTTTACCAAAAAGTCTAGTACGTACGAAAGTTGAAAATTCCTGCCAGAGCTAAGATTATGGACAAAGCCAAGTCCTAAGTACTTCACTAAGTACAACACAACCTGCTTAAGTCCCTCTTAAGCTCGGAAATCCAGTGATTTGACAGGAGAAGTGTGGAACACAAAGGGAACTAAGTACAGACTTACGCTGGAATGTGTAAACACAGATATGCATGGTTGTAGTTTGTCTAATGTACAAGGTGTTTTGGATGGCTTGACAATAAGGGATCAGCACAATGCATTTAGTCCCACAGTGTGTTGTTAATGATCTGGGCAGAGTTTAAGTAGAAACCTGTGTTACGAGAAACCTGTGTTAAATAATGATGCTAATGATCATGAGTTGAACCCATCTTTGACAGTAAAGGTTTGGACCAACTCTAGGCACACAACATATCGAGTTGGATTCAATGCTCTCTAAAATATTTGCCCATTTCATTAGAATGTCTTCATTAGGCCACACCATTTAATTTCTTGGTTAACGGATTTGCCCAGTTCATTTTTTTCTGATTTGCAAAAAAAAAAAAAAAATTCAGAATCAACTGCAAAATGCTCATATTTTGCCCTGAACAGTTGAAAACAGTCCTTTTCTTCCTAGTTGTTACAGTTATTCCATCTTTCAATGCAGTGGTAATACTATCATTAAAAGTTCAAAATTCATTGTTTAAATTTTGAACCAGCCTGGTGTGTTGATTTCATGGCTCCTATCGTACCATTTTGGGCCATAATAGGATGCCTAGGCCTGTTTTATTTTTTTTTATTTTTTCGCCAGCCCGCTCCATTATTTTCCTAGAAAAATCCGTAAGCCAAGAAATTAAATTGGTGTGGCATTAGAAAAAGATGCTCAGGAGGAGAAAGCTTACCTGTCGTATTCTCTTCTTAGATCCTCCCACTCTGAAGATCCCTAGTACCTGTAGTCCTGTAGGGAGAGATAACAAAACGTTAGATATTTAAGACTCATCATCCAATGATGCAATAGCTCAATCTGGAAAAGTGCTTGCTTTGTCACCTGGAGGTCGTGAGTTCAAACCCCAGACTTTAAAAAATGGTACATACTGCTTAGCGCTCAGCATCTATGAGAAAGAGTATACCAGCGGGCTAGCCCCCTGCTGTAGTGCTTGCAAAACTGTGTGGCCCAAGAGCTACAGTAATGGAGATGGGCACCACCCCTATGCTCTGCAAGGAGTGGAAAGGGACCATCTTCTTCTTCCAATGAAAGATACTAGAAGAGATTTTATCCACAGCTGAGCAACAAGTTTTGTGAGAACAAGTTTCAGAAAAAGGTGTGTACATGTAACATCCGTGTCCATAACATCACCAGGGTCCATAATATCGCTACCTTGAGAAATAATAAGCTTTAAGATACTTTTACTGCAACATACTTTTGGTATGCACTCCTGCACACCTCAAATGTACATATCTAGGGTATGTTGCAGTAAAAATATCTTTAAGCACACTTTTTTCTCAAGGTGGCAATATTGTGGACCCTGGTGATATTATGGACATGGATGTTATGTCCTCTAAAAAAGACTGGACACCAAACAATACACTATTTTAGACCTGCCCACTCTGCCTGCTCCCCTCCCACCATGATAGGACCTCCTGTTTCACCTTACATTAACCAGGTTACACAGGTTAACCCTTACTTATCCCAAACATTACTTCTCCTTGGGTGGTTCAAGGAATTCCCCCAACTGTTGATGATGTAACAACAGATCCGCAATGAAAAATATTTGCCAAAAATGCTTTTAAGAGAAAGCCGACCACGTTGCAGATACTATACTATACTGGAGGTATGTGATACACATCTTGCAACACTGGGAAGAACCTTTCTTATTAAGATTTTCTTGATCCTCCAGGTATAAACCATCTGAGAATGCAGTGTCAGAGGCTTTTAATGAAAAGGGGTTACCTGGCTACTGTTACAGATAACAGCATCCTTGAAATGTCCTCTAAAACAGTTGTTTTTAATGTATCAAGTTCCTTCAATATGGACCTTTCTCTGTGACTGTTTTCCTAAGATTGAAAGAACCTTGGCCCATTTGCGTGTTCAAATAGAACTGTATCTCTAATGTTTTCTTAGGCTGTCACACATCAATTTCTAAACGTTAAACAAACATAGCTATTGAAGGTTGATGACATATTCTTAGATGTTGGCAACATCATTCCCAGGTGCCTGTTTCTTAGAAATTAGACATCCAAAATGTCATTCAACTTCAGATTTATTGATACTCTCCAAAAGAGTAAGATACATGTAGATATCATTTGTTGCCAATATTACATTGTGTATTTTGAACTTCAAAATCATTGTGTGTCCACGGTACGGCCCGGTCCGGAACCCGTTATCTAACGCTTCCATGGCTTCCATAAAACAATTTGAACGCGTTTCGCCCTAACCGCGTGTGCCCCTTTCGAAAATTCGAATACAGAATCAGGACGTTGGAACTGATGTTGTTGCATTTGAGGGTTTAGGGGCACCAACTTTTGGCTCATATTGCATTGAAAGGCGCGTTTTCTTGGGTGGGTATGATATAAATAAAATACAACAGTCCTGGCCCTCCCGCGATCCGACCCACGGTTGGGACGATACCTCAGGCGATACGGAATACCCCGTGTTGTATTCTATTTGTAAATCAAGCTCTAGATCATATGCTACAAGTAGGACACAAATGATTCTAGATATCCAGTGTCTGGTACACTGTTGATAAAATCTATAAATTTTTTCATGGAGCTGAAATTTATAGAAATATCAGTTTCTCATACACGTCAAGAAAAATTCCACAATGCCCACATAAAGGACTACTGCCCGTTCAGCTGTACTGCCAGCGGCTGCCCCGTAACATCACACTGACCAGTATACGTCTGGGTGAAATAACAAGGAACAACAGCACCAACTTCTCAAAGCTGACAATTAACACCTTTCTGCTTGACTAACTGGTTCTGTTGTTGCAGTCTGCCTGTATGTAGACAGGACTGCAGGCTGAACACTGACAAGTACAATCCATGTGGCACACACCCTTGGTTCAAGGCCACTTATACTATTCATTACAACAATTACAAAAAAGCTTATAAAAAGCTATTTCCAAGTATTTAGGCCACACCAATTTAATTTCTTGGTTAACGGATTCGCCCGCTTCATTTTTTTCTGATTTTTAAATAAAAATAAAAATTCAGAATCAACTGCAAAATGCTCATATTTTACCCTGAACAGTTAAAAATAGTCCTTTTCTTCCTAGTTGTTACAGTTATTCCATCTTTCAATGCAGTGGTATCATTAAAAGTTCAAAATTCATTGTTTAAATTTTGAACCAGTCTGGTGTGTTGACTTCATGGCTCCTATCGTACCATTTTGGGCCATAATAGGATGCCTAGGCCTGTTTTTATTTTCTTTATCCATTGACCAAGAAATTGGTGTGGCCTTATAACAATTACTAAAAAGCTTATAAAAACTATTTCAAAGTACGTTTTTTTTTCTTAACATCCACAAGATACAACCAGATGAAATTGAAAGAGACATTTCTGACTACCCTCTCTTAAAACTATGAAGTGGAATAGTCTTAGCTTTTCTAGGCATTAACAAAATGATCATGAAATGATTGAAATTACTTTTTTAACATGAGTTTTGTTCCACTGGTCGAAAAAAATTTGAATTGTTTGGAAATGACTTTCTGAGAAGTTGAAGTTGACCGATATAGTGACGTACTAGACTGATTTATTGGTCTAGTTGAAGCTAGAGAGTTGGCAGCACAAGTGCCTTGGCATGAGCCACCTGTTTTAAGAGGCTATGGGTTTAAACATTGAGGTTTATAGAAGCCATTCTTAGAAGCAACACATTCTTAATTCATTGTTAAACTGATGTGAGAAAGAACGGTATTGTACATTTTGCAGGGCTCAAAATCCCTCTTTTCTGTGGGAATTCTGAGCCCAGCATTAATAATGGCAATGCCTCATCAAGTGTTTGCTTTATTTTAGGCCACTCTGATTTAATTTTATGAATGACATCCATGCGCACATTGAATTTCGCCTGTTCTAAAAAAAATCACCTCCGACTAGGCTCTGGCCTAGGTGAAACCCCCTGTAGTCCATGGCAGCAAGCGACATTAGGCAGCCGGTAGTACATGTAACTATGGAGGACGGCACCCAGGCTACCGAAGCTCCATGGAACTCAAGAACTCAGTACAGTGATAACTCTCATATATGTCGCAAAAGGCCAGCATGTGCTGGCTTGTCGTGCATGTACCACAAATTTTTTAGCTAGAATTTTTTCTATTTGACACGTCCACTAGTTTGGGGGTCTTCGGCGGATGTCATCCATAAAATTAAGTCAAGGTGGCCTTTTACCTTTCAACTACAACTTCTTTGAGATTTGTGAACAAACTCACCATATTTCTGGAGGTGGTGGAAACAGCAGTGCACAAACTGAGGTACTTGTGGCGCGCGGGGAAGCTGTGCCTTCACTCTGAACACGGCGTTCCGGCGCGGTGTGGCCGTGGAGGACAGCGCGAGAGCGTCTAACAGCGGCGAGTGTCCGTAACGATCCGACAGGTCCGTTAGCGAGTCTACCGAGATCGCGTCCTGCGTGGAGAAGAAGGGAGAAAATGTTTACACAGATTGAAGATGATTTGAACAAACGGTCTTTATAAAATAATTCAAATAACAAATATACAATTCAAGATCTACAATATATATATATATATATATATACCAACTCATCTGTGTTGGTAGTTACATGTTTAAAGGTAAACCTTACACAAAAGGTGTTGACATCTCACTTGAGAGAAGCCACATAACAAGTCTGACTGGGTCAGTCTACTGAGGAAGACCAGAGTGACTGGTCGAAAGCTCTAGGCCTAGGTGAGCTTTAGGTGAAAACATCACTTTTTGTGTTGGAACAAAAGTTTTACCTTTAAACATAGATGCCATCAGTTATACTGTGATACATGTGAAACAGAATAATGTGTAAGAATATGAAATACAAACCCACAATCAATTGTCAATTTAGTTTGCTTGAACAAGGTTCTATGGTTCTCTACTCACTCTTCTTTTCCTGCGATACCGGGCGACATCAGGACTCACAGGGGGCGCTGTTGTACTGCTTTGGTTGAAGACTTCTGAGGTAGAGCTGATGGAAGAGCTACTGGAAGATCTCACCAGGGGCTGGGGGGATCTCGCCGTGTCGTTCTTCCTGCCACGTTCTCCCGTCCACTCGCACAGGAGAAAGGTCTTCTTCTGTCGTCTTGTCTCCTCGTTGGCAATGACCTTGGACAGAGGTATGCCAAACACTTGACCCTGTGCTCCCGAATCTTCAAGATATGGGAAAGAAAATAAGGACAAATGAGATTATCCACCTTAGACATTAGTGGGGGACTGGACTTGCAATGGCTTAAATGTCTAGGCTCAAAGATTATACTTACCATTGTATATATCTATATTTTGATTCTCGAATAAACAACAATGACTAAGGGTGTACTTGTACCATAAGGTGATTGTATATATCTATATCTTGATTCCCAAATAAACAACAATGATTACACGTAAGATGTACTGGTACCATAATGTGATTGCTGGTCTGCTAGAGAGTATAGTTACAATATCATTGTGCTGAAGAAAGAAAAAAAATACACAAACTCATATACTTTTCTGTTATGATGTATGGCAATAATAATAACAGGATGTTACTAGAGGTACAAATGTATACCTTTGTTTTCTTTCCCTCTTTCCTTCAGCAGTAAACCAGCGTGTGTCCCATTGCCCCCACTCTGATGCCGCTTCTTCAAAGACAAACTGTGCCATCTTTTTCTCTTTCCCTCAGTCTCTTCTGCAAAAGACCAATAATAATAAAAATGTTATCATCTCAAGAAGAAAATATGACTTAGGCCACACCAATTTAATTTCTTGGTTAACGGATTTTTCTAGCAAAATAATGGAGCAGGCGAGCGAAAAAAAATAAAAAATAAAAACAGGCCTAGGCATCCTATTATGGCCCAAAATGTTATGATAGAAGCCATGACGTCAACACGCCAAGCTGGTTCAAAATCTAAACAATGAATTTTGAACTTTTAATGATACCACTGCATTGAAAGATGGAATATCTGTAACAACTAGGAAGAAAAGGACTGTTTTCAACTGTTCAGGGCAAAATATGAGCATTTTGCAGTTGATTCTGAATTTTTTTTTTTTTGCAAATCAGATAAAAATGAAGCGGGCGAATCCGTTAACCAAGAAATTAAAATATCGGTGTGTCCTTAGGTCACATTTTAAGAAGTACAAAGTACCTTCATTGTTCAAATTTTCATCTTTCCCTATATATAACTGTTACATTCTATATTTTCATTTTTCTATCCATACATATCCTCTCTTCTCTGGTAAAAAAAAAACATCTGTCTTGCAGCAATGGCAGTGCAAGATCCCAAAACATCTGGTGCCCATTCCAACCCAAGATTTGCACCCCAAAATTATCGGAAATTCTTTCATCCAGAAGTTTTGTTCCTATGCCCAGCTATGTGCCCCTGGAGTCTTATTGATTCCTGTCTACAATTAAGTGAAAGTTAGCTCAAGTCAGCCATGGTTTTTGTGTCAGGACAGATTTCTCTGAAGAACAACCATCTATGGTATCATCTGTTTTACTTTATGGCTAAGGCCAGGTTATCTTTGGCAGAGGAATGACAAGTTTCTTAGGAACAGACCCATGGTTCTAGCTAGCGCGAAGTAGCGTAGGGGCCCCCTACGCTAAAATTTTGACCCCCTACGCATTGTGACTGCATTTTTTTGTTCAAGAATGCTAGATCAAATGTGAAAAATTACCAATCAAGGATACTGTACATTGTACATAACTTAGAAATAACATTTTTTTTCCCTTTGGGTATCCCTCAAACTCAACTGGCCTCTTTTTTAGCTCAAATTTTTAGAAGCTCCACACTGGTCGCTTCGCTCCCTCGACATGCGGCCAGTGCCACTACGCTAAAATTAAATCCTAGCTAGAACCCGGAGACCAAGATGGATAATAGGGAAGGAGAGGACTTCTCAGAAAATAAAGCAATCGACTTGGATTAAGTATTATTTGCAAACAAGAGTCTGGCTTAACATTTACGTAAGACTGTGCAAATCTTCTTCAACTTCAAGAGTGTGTTCCACCACAAAGGTCAATATACCACAAGGCCAACCAATGTCAGTTGCCATAGCAAGTGACACTACACATATTTGCAGGGCTCTTTTAACCTTTCGAATGTTACATACAGTTGGGTAAGTGGCCAAAGCATACAGTTAACCTCCATGGAAACACAGTGGAATGGAGGTCCACGGAAGGGCACTCAGATTAAGGCCGACTTTAGGCTGACGATGGTATATGTCTATACGATTGCACGACAATCGTTGTGGGCAGCGGTTGTTGTACCAGCAGCCTGTACGAAAGGACTGAAAAACTCTTCCTTACACAGGGCAATACGCCTGTACAACGAGTCTTTGCAGTAAGACTCTCAGGACTCTCTGGTCTTTACTTTAGTGCCCATGCATGTGTGGCTTTTTGTAATGTTTTTGTTTGTTTGTGTGGCTGTATATATATCGCAAAGTTAATTTGTATTTGTATGGGCTAGATAACTGTAAAAAATCAGTGTTATTCAGCTTGCTTTTGTACTGGCTGCAAGGCTGATTTTCATGAATAAACTGTTGAAACTGTTTAATACATTGTACTTTAAAATTACATTCTACTGAGCACTGCGCAATGGATAAATATATATCCCTAATCATGTTCACTGCTAGCAGCTTCCGGCCTTGCTGCAAGCCTTACATAAAGGTTATGTAACAATGAATGCCAGGTGCGAAATGTGGAAATATTTCCATCAATTCAATTCCAATGGTGCATAGAACCCCATGCCTGTACACTAATGGCATTCAATTCTAAGGCTGTTCCGCATGACGGGAGATTGCGTCAAACTAAATGGCCAACTACGATAAACATTACCGCTGAATGGGAGACAGATGCTTGCTTTGTCATTGCGTTCGTTTCCTTCAGATATTGTGACACAACGGCATTTTCTTAACAGTCATGCTAACTTGCCATTACCCTTGAATTTAGATGTTGTGAACAAAGTTGACATACCAGTTCTCATAAAAAGCTCTAAACAAAATTTAATGATTTTTATGAGAAGAGTGATTTTTCGTATGGCAAATCCTTCTTCAAGCCCTCACAGGTGTTTTTGATTCTTCTAAGATCAATCCATGCAGGAAATTCTTCCTACTGGAAGATGTAAGTGATGTAACTGAACACCACCCAAAATGTTACTTTCTTCTCAAGTAACTTGCCTCCTGAACTCTTATCTTATACCAAGTTAAATACCTTCATTCTCAGAATCATATGAGTTCTATAGCAGCCATGGATTTCCAGATGACGACTACTTTGGCGTAAGAGCTTCAAATTTTTGATCTCCGTGATCCGATTGGGAGAAAAACTTCCAGGTATCCTTGCCACGGAGGTCAAGGTCAACATCACTGAAGGCTTGGTTGCCATGGCAACTGATCCTGGCATCCACCGCAAAGAAATCCGACATTACACGGTATCCACCGCGCTGACTTCCACGACAAAGAAGGACTCAGATCTAGTTGGATATTAACTAGGAGTTCCTTTTTAAGCATGTATCTACATGTATACTTTCTTCTTCTACTCAACTTTTTACACTCGCCAATCTATCAATTTTGATATCTTTATTGAATTTTGCTACAATTCTCTGATTTTTAAAAGCTCGTACTGGATCCCTCATACTGAGCTCTGATCGCAGGATATATCAGCTCTTTAGTAGCCCAAATACACCACCACTGAGGTACACACCAAAGGTAAAGCTCCCCAAACAATGTTCCCTCCTCGCTTGATCTGCGGCTCAAGGTTTGATTAGCCCCACATTCCATTTATTATTGCGGGTTTAGTTTACCCTCTGTACTGGGGATGGGAACCACCTGCTGGAACTACATGTACATGTACACTGTACATTTGTACACGTGTGTTGATGGACTGCTCTAATTCTTATCTAAAAGCTAGTGATGTCAAGATACAAGATGTCTTTATTGGTTCGTCGCTCTTAAAAGAACTGAATTATTAAAAACAAATGTACACAAATGTCATGAAGCAAATTATTTTTTTGATGATCAATATTTAAAAACCATATATTTATGTCAGCTTAATTCTTTAATTCAATGAACCAGGTACAACAAACATGTATTTCCAGAGTCATATAAGTGTAATTGGCCATGAGTTATATATATATAATGTGGCTGTCAAGTCTGGCCATGGGAGATGATATTTTCTTTAGACACATTGACAAGGACTGCTTTTTTCCTGATGGACTCCAAGATGTAGTCTCCACCAGACTCCTTTTGCAGGCTGATAGAAATTATATCATGGGCAGAGGAGATGGCCACCATAAAATCTCAAACTTGCCTGCATGGAGATTCTATGGCGGCCATCTCCTCTGCCCATGATATTCCCTTTTTAGTGCCAATTTCTACAATTTATCAGCCTGCAAAAGGAGTCTGGTGGAGACTATGCAAGATGCACCCTTGTTCCTTCAACTTGAAAGTCATTGACCCCCATTTCATACAACACTTTTCTACCTCACTGCCAAGTCATTACATGGTCCTAAACAACATGTCTCAGGACTAAAGATAGCTTTGACCTGTCCTTGTATTAGGGAAGGGTGCTATTTTATCCTTAAGTCACACGCAGGGCTCGAAATACTGGGTGCATGTGCACCTTTAGGCTTAGTGCACCCAAAATTGGAGCTGTGCACCCAATTTTTTTCTGTGGGTGCATTGGTGCACCCAAATATTTTTGTACGTATTTTTGTACATATTAAATGTATACAGTAATACTGGGTATTCTTGGCATCTACATGTAAGTGTCAGAACATCTTTGTTGTAGTACTCATTTAAGATTTTGAAGTTAGCTCCCATTTCAGATTCAAGCTCAGAAGAGGAGCAATAAGATCTGGTTTTGTTTTATATGGTGCACCTAAATTTTTAGGTTGAGTGCACCAGTGCACCTATTCCCAAAAACGAATTTCGAGCCCTGCACACGTGTTCACGGTTATGGGGACAGTGCTTCCACGCTTGAGCCAACATCTCAGCCAGGCACCAACATTCTGTACTTCAGCGTCTTTCCTAAAGGGGAATTTTATGTCCTGGAGGTCATGGAAGTTATTTTGATTTTGTGTGTCAAGTGGTCACTTAGGAATCTGCCTACACCATGATTCTGGAACACAGGGGTCTGACCAGTGCAAATGTGGTTAACAAGATTTGACTTTTAAAGGTCAGGGCTCCCTAAGGCAAGGTCAAAAGTTAACTTTGGAGGGTAACATATGGTCAAGGGTCCAATGCATGACGAATAAAGTTTAAAGTAGCCTTGAGTTACCTTGATTTGGCATTCTAAGAGTTCTAAATCACGTTGACATTGGTTACGTTCCAGTGTTGGCTTTGAATTCCTCTGCCAGGTAGCTAAGAGTCAATGTCCCAAAATGAACCGCAACCTTTACTGCATGCTTGGACTGGATGCATAGTTTGCGTAAAATATCAAGGATGTGGGAAGAATGTCATAACTCTTATGTACATATAGATATGTGGATGTTTTATTGAAACATCAATTTTTCTTGAAGATGTAGTGAAATTCTCAAAGTTTCAAGCAAGACTATCTCATCTGTTCATCTGTAACCCAAGTATGTAAGGCCACAGCAAATAATTTTTATGGATGACATCAGCGCGTGCATTAATTTTCACGATTTTGGGGAAAAAAACAAGAAATTTTGTTGCTTTCTGACAGTGGTCAACGTGCCA